TAAGATGTATATGATGTTTAATAACTTCCATGGAAGTCTAACTTTTTCAAAAATATTATCTATCAGGTAAACATATTTAAAAGAAGACATATTTTAGAAGTTCATGTGTGATTGGAAATTGTTCAAATCTGTATTTGCAGTGTTTTTGGATTATTATTCAAGGAAACCAAGAATGTGAAATGTTAAACAAGAATTTATATTGTTATCATCATTATTTTCAATCTAGTTATTCGAATTTGTCATTGTGATGTCAAAAAAGGAAGAGGAAAGAAAAATAATAAAAGAGAAAATTGGAAAGAAAGAACAGAGTGAAAAGAAAAGCAGAAAGAAGCCCAAATTCCTTCTAACATTGTTTCAGCCTGACCCAATTTCATAAATCCAGTTCAAAACAACCCAACTCTCTTAGTTCGGGCCCTTCCCTCTTCTGCAAAGAAAAGGGAAGACAGTAGGGTTTTCTTTTGGGAAGACGACGAGAGTTAGAAAGGAATAGCGAACAAGGCGGATTCCATAGGTTGTCCGCACGAGTCCGAAGGGAGATAAAGCAGTAAATTAGAGCAGCAGAGAAGCAGAACAGAAAGAAAAGGCTGAAGACAAAAGAAACAGAGTCGAGCACGCGAAGAAGAAGAAGAAGAAGATAAAGACAGCTTGACGTGCTTGAATCAGAGGAAATCAGAGGCTTCCTCGCATTAAAATCTCGAGGGGGCTTTCAGAAATAAGAAGTGGAAAGTCTGGTGCGGCTTGAAGAAAGGGGCGACTGAGAGTTTGGGGAGTCAGTCGAGCAAGGAGGAAAGACAGAAAGAAAAAGAAAAGAGAACAAATTAGCGGAAGAGAAACAGGAGGGGGGCAGAATAGCCTTTTAGGTTTAAGAAATCTGCGAAGGAAAGAACAACGGAGGGAGATCAGGAACAAGCGAGGTTAAGGAGAGTGTTTTTCCGCGGATTCAGCCATCTGGAAGCAACCCGCAAGAAGGATTCGAGTGTGGTATAAGTCTCTCTTTTCTTTTCCTCCTAGTTTATCGTCTGCATTTTGAATGTTTTGGGTGTGTGTGACTATGTCCGTGACTTGTTCCCTGCCATGCGTAAATTCTTCCAAACTTTCATTTCGTTTATGCTATTAAATTTACGTTGTTCCCCTTATGGATGCATAATAAGCAAGGTTCAGTCTATTGTTTGCATATGTATGAAATGTTAAGAGATGCGTCTATTAAACTAGGAATGTAGTTATGCATTTTTCAACGTTAAATACTGTGTCAAAGAGTGCAAAATCAATTCTTCAGTCACGGGGAATTCTACCCTCTGAAGAACTTGCTTAGAGGTTCCCCCGGGGACCAATGATACAAATACATCCCTTTTCTTCAAAAATTTCTCTTTCATGCTTGACTGGTTGTTGGGCAGCAATCCTCTTCTGACTCTGTAACCCAGCTTAGGGTTCAATCCATTTTGTTGAATATCTAGTGACGTACACGATGATAGCTGTGATAAAGCCTCTCTGTTTTCCCTGGGTTCTTTCAGTCCCTTTCATATTATTGCTTTCGGGGTATTTAGTAGCGGATTTTAGAAACTGATTGCCCTCTTTTGTTCACACATTTCCTTGTCTCTTGTTGGGAAAAGTAGAGACCAGTCTCAAGTGGGTAACCTAAAGGTCCCAACCTATTGGTTACTAAAGATCCTCCATTTGGTCAATGACTAGAATTGGGCACCCTTACATCCTATCGATGGCTCCTAGTACATTCCTCTCTATCCATTCTTCTTAGGTATCATCTCTGGGTTCCATAGTCCTTATTCATTATTTGATTTATTTTAAGAGACAAGGAAATGATTGACAGGGTAACATGTGTTTGTCAATAGAAAGCTTATAACAATAATATTGGGGAATGTCTACACTATTATAGCCACTATAATACCTTGCCTGAGTGAAGATTTGATGACTTGTATTTTGGGCTTGAAGCATCCCAATAAACAAATTCAATTGCCAACTGTGAATTTGCACTGAGGACTTGTGGGATTTTTGTCTCGCTCATCTCATATATCACAAACAAATTGATTTCCAACGGTGAATCACCTCTTTTCTTTCTGATTAAATCTCTGTTTCACATAACAACGGCAAGGCCCAATTTTGTTGCCACCTAATCTTTGTTCTCCAGCATCCTGCTTTTCGCTGAACAGGTTAATGCAATTTCTTTTAATTGTACTCTTTTAATTCAAGGTTTTTTCCCCTTTTGATTTTGAATAATTTTCATAAACTTGAAATATCTTTTGTTTTCGTTTACATTGTGGCAAATTTATAATCATGCAGCTCTGAAGTAATCCAATGCCGAGAAAGGGTTCTTCGAAGACACCAACAAAGAAAGAAAATCCTGTTGTAGAAGAGGAAAAGCCCACCTCAAAATCCAAGGAACTCAGTAAAGAGATTGATGAGATATTTGCTGGTAAAAAGAGGAAAAAACCAGAACTGAAAAAGGAGAATGGAGACGGAGAAGGAACACCGAAGAACAAGGAAAAGAAGAAGAAGAAGACAAAAAAGAAGAGTAAAGGAGATACAGATGACGGTTTCGAGGACCTTCCTGCACGACCGAGGAAGAAAACAGAGGATGGGCTTACCATCTACACAGAAGTGGAATTAGGTATGAGTAAAGCTAATGCCGGTGGTACTCCTCTTTGTCCATTTGATTGTGATTGTTGCTTCTAAGTAGTTTTGACCTTTCAGAAAGTGTGAAGGTGAGAAAGAAAGCTAATCTTCATTTAACTCTTTAAGTAAATTGGTTTTCTTAAGTTGAGTGCACGATTGTTTAATTTCTCTTTGTATTTCGTTTCTCTGTAATTCCGTAGAATATTACCAATATTTCTACTGCAATAAAATTTATTTGTCCAACCAAGTCTCCCTAAACCCAGCCTGTCGTAAAAGACCAAAAGCCCAACAAAACGGCGACGTTGTGGTTTTCTTCCTTATATGGTGTGTAACGTTTGTGTATTTTGTAAGTACTTTTCTTTAATAACTAACTGTTAATATTGAAATTTATTTTTGAGAGATTTTAAATTTCACAATTATTTTTATTAAAAATATTTTTTTAGCGAATTCTTATTTTAAACTGCTAGAGTAAAAGGCTACAATTTCGAATACGCTCACAAAAAACGAGAGAGACAGGAGGAGAGCAGAAAAGAGAAATAGAGACGACGAGACAAGGACAGAGGTGGCACCGCCAAATAAGTAAAGGAAAGAAGTGGCGATGGCGTGAAGCAGCAGAGGGTAGTGATGGTCGATCGATGATGATGGAGATTTACAGGGGAAAAATCGAGGCTGGCACCAGTGAGTTATAGAGTAAAGGGAAGAAGAAAGAGAAGAAAAAAGCAAAGAAGACAACACGGACGGAGGGAAGATAGCTTTGGCGGTACTGAAGTTTTTTGCTTGAATGTAATGGAGTTGACAGTCGCTGATTTTTTATGTTTGACCTTTTCCCTTCCATGCGTGGTTCTGAGGATTCCTGACACAGCTATTTGGTATGATCTGTTTCTTTGAACGTAATAGAGTATGATCTTAATATGTCTCTCATTATTTCCTCGTTTCTTTTTGTTTTTTTTTTTTCTCTCTCTAACTCTTGCATCAAAATTTCCATGATTAAATTTCTCGGGTCATATAGGCTCTTTATCTTTGTTCTTTTGAAATCCATTAAAAATATATTCATGTACATCAATCTTACACCAATATAATCATTAGCTGCAAATTATATTCCAACAACTCTATATACCTCAACATCCTTGCACATTAATCTAGTGAATTGGGTTGCAGAATTCTTCTCCTTTAACCATCTGCAATAAGAAATAAAAACAGGTGTCATAAAACTTGGATCTGAGCGCCACAAATTGCCTACAACTAAAGAACCTACTTACATCATCCATGGAGGTAATTTGAACTATCAGAATTATGGCTTCAAATACATACTAGTCAAAGGGAACCCAAGCAAAAATCTTTGAAAATTAATGGCACCCACATCATCGCTAATCAAATATCTGAATACAAGCCAAGAAAAAACTTGATAATCTTACTTTACAAAGAATATGCAAATTAACAATTAGACAGACTCAACCCATAATAATGATTTAGAGTGAAAGGAAACAAGTAATGGAAGAAACAAGATGTAACCAACAGTCCTAGCATGAAACTATAGATAGTTACAAGCTATCTTCACCAGGTAGAGTTTCTGTGGGCTCCAAGCGGCAGACAAGGTGCCATGGAGGCGACACCAGCTGTTGACTCAAATATGAAGCCATCACTTAGCTTGTTTCTTTCACTCTCTTCTCCTTCAATGCGTGACTCTCTATACAAACCAATGAGTGACTCTCTCAAGCAAAGATTATGATGCAATCTTTGAAGAAACAAGATTAGACAATCTAAATATTATAAATATGGAGGATCTATAGATTAACATTTAGCTGCTTTGAATTTGAAGAAAACCATTCGTTAGTGAATTTCTCCAATCGTGTAAGTAGCTCTTTCTAGGCACTGTGCAAAAGGTAGCTTGTTATATATTTTATCAACAAACACCCGTGTCTGACTGAGTGCCTACAAGCTATATTACAAAGGCAAAACAAGAGAAAATTTTTAAAGGCGCAATGAATTAATTCAAGCCGCCTAATTACTTGAATTCTTAAAGGAGAAGAAACCTGGAAGGTTTGATGATCATTTTCTGGTTAACATTAGGCAACCAAGATGATCTAGTTGAAATGTGACAAGAAAACGTTTTTTTTTTTTCAAGAAGAAGTTGAAATGTAATTGGAGTATTGAATCCGGAAACAACAGTGAGTTTCGAGAGTCTTCCTCCAGTGAATCGATTTCGGCTCCAAGCGGCAGATAGGCCGCCATTAACTGGCGCCTGCTGTTGACTCGATTATGGAGCCATATGCCCTAACCCCTAATATCATACCGAAGTAGAATCATACACCGTATAAGAAACATATTATTTTCTAAAACACAGAAAAAAGTAAAACGTTTAACCGTCCATCACACGATTTTACACCACATTCGTTCAACTGAAATGGTTTATTATCAGAAAACATTCAGGTAACTCTGCAGAAGCTCCGAAAGAAAATATATTAAGGGAGAGAAAACTTTAGAATTACCAGATTTGCGCAGAAAACAACATTATTCCCGGAATTTAGATTGTGCAAACACTAAGAAGGGACTGAAGAGCAGCAATAAGGGAGGCAGAAAATAAACGAAGGAGCCAGTAGTAGGAAGTGAGATGGAGGATGAGAAGCTCTAAACAATAATTTATAGACTGGTTCTGCAAACCCTAAGGACTCCCCAGTGTGAAATTACGAAAAGGACACCCGCCTTCTAAGTATATGGGTCACGCTTGCTTACCATTATAATATTATAAATATCTAAAATCATAAGAAACAATGTAATAGATGTCCGATAAATTTTTAATTGAGATATGAATACGCTATGTTAAATTATTCGAAAAAAATTGTTCATGTAAAGATCGTTTTTTTTTTTTAATATTCGTTGCGCGTCTTTTAGATATATTATAATAGATTCGAACACTTAATCTCGATCGACTTCTATATCATATTTACTTTAGCGAATAACTAAAGAAATTAAACGAATAGATTAGAGCTATAAGTGAAAAAAATTCATTCTATATGTTCACTAATTATTTGATCATCGTCGGATTTATTTATATGTCTTGTTCGGAAAAAGAAGGACTCGATGATTTATACAGCATATATTTATATATTTTATGCTAAGTGTTTAATTTTATTAAATAAAAAATTCTAATTAACCCGATAATAATTTCTTTAGATGATTGCTAGAAGTACAAGTTTACTAAATTGGTTCGTTCTTAAATTCTTGCATAGAATATTTAGTACGTGCCAAATAAAAATTTAATAGTAATTAATAATGCAAAATTATTTATTGTACTGCAGTTTATTTTATAAGAATTAGTTATTATTATACCTAAATTATATAGAGTTATGCACGTAATAGTCAATAACTCATTACTTAAGGTAAAATAAAGACGTTATTAAATTAATACATTTAGATAGAAAATTCAGAAGTTATAATCATAATGTCATTAATTTATGAAATTGTTTATCCAAACTATTTAAATTTTATCTAGAATAACATATATATTCGTTATGATTGACTCTAAGAGTATGACATAATTTATACCTTATGTTCTTTTTAAATACTAAATTAAACGAATATATATGCATGAAAATTATTAATAGATAAATTTTTTATTTAAAAAATTATTATTATTATTTTTTAGAGATCATAATATATCATTAGATGTCCCTTATAATTAGTAACTTCGAGGTAATCAATGAACATAATTTATCCGATTATATTGTAAATAAATGAAATTGATTAACAAGTTATTACTAGTTATATACGGTAATCAATCTTATATTTATATCTTCTCAAATAATCTACTTAAATTTTCACAAACTTCAAATTTTCTCCTTCATTAATAAGTTGATAAGGTGTCTTAGTCGTTTTTGCACGATTAATGTTTAAATTATAAGATCGTAAAATTATTTTAAAAATAAATTTTAAAAGCAATATAGTAGTTGATAAAATTTGTTACGATAAGTGCATTTAATAGTATTATATTTAACTAATTTTATTTATGAAATTAATTACGCTTGTAAGATAATAAAAAATTAAATAATAATTTTATTGTTATTATTAAATTGTTTAATTGATATTTCTTAAAGCTACGTTACTAATTTAAATTATTTTAGAATATTCATTTTAATTTAATTATTTTATCTAATTTATTTTATATAAATAATAAATTTTAAATTATTTTTTATTTAATTTAAAAATGAAATTATTATTTAAAATAATATAAAATTGTTAGTATTATATTTTTACTTCAAAAAATATTAAGTTTATTATTAATAAAGCATAGAGTTAATATATATATATATATATATATATATATTAAAAATTAAAAAACAGAAACAGAAACAAAGGTCAAGAGAACCCAAATACAAAACAAGAACAAAGCTTTATAAAAAGACTTTAAAACTGGATTATCAAGCTGCAGATAGTAGTAGAAATAATGGTGTCTTGTTGCGAAATTTCCATGGCACATCCAACCAGACGAAATGTAAACAAGTCTTATTCGAGTACTGCATCCCCCAGTTTACAGTGCAAAATCATCCACTTAGATCGTAAAAGAAATTTCAAATATTTGATATATTTTTTTTTTGAATGAGATATCAATTCTAATGACAGTTTTATTAGATATCTTATGATTAGAATCCTTCTTTTTTCCGATCTAGTTTCTCTACCACTGATAAATCCAGTTAAATTCAGACATGATACATTTTTTAGTTATTGGAAGAAGTCAATATTATCTTTGGGATCCAGAAAACAACTGATCTAAGCAATCAATTTATTGATATTGGAAGACCCAAAAGATTCTTCCAATGTATCATATTTTGGATCCAGTGGAATTCATAGGGATAGGAAGAAGCCTTCTTAGATTAGTCTAAATCTTGGAATTGACTGGTTAAGGACCCAGTAATCAATTTATACCGCATTGTTGCTCAGCTGCTTATCGTCAATACTGGATTTTGATGGAGTTCCACCTCAGAATCCTGACTTTTAAGAGCAAACAGAACAGGTCTTTCCATACAATCAAACGCCGTCTTCACAGCAACAACAAACTTCTGGTGGCTCTGCTGCTCCGGCAGATAGCACCGGATACAATTACAATCAGCCTCTTTCTAGCTACAATCAGCCAGGACAATTTTATACTCAAGATGGCTATGGTGGATATCACACACACCAACAATCTGGTTATGGGCAGTCACCAACACATGATCAGCAGCAAGGTTATCGATAAACACCTAATTATGGCAGTGTGACCAACCCAACTCAGGAGGGGCACACTCCTTCCTATGGTTCTCAGGGGGATACAGCTCAAGTCAATAGCCAAGCCCAAATACTGCAGGTTATCCACCCTAGGGAAGTGCTCAGCCGGGCTACGGAATGCCCCCAACTTCACAGACTGATATGGTTAGCTTACGCACGATAAATCATACTTCATTGTTAAGAGATTGCAGTTTCTTTTATAAAAACTAGTTATTACTATAACTGAAGTATATAGAGTTGTGTACATGATAACCAATAACCCATTACTCATGGCAATATGTATATTTATAATGATTGGCTCTAAGAGTTGGACACAATCTAAACCCTAGGTTCTTTTCAAATACTGAATTGAATGAATGTATGTGCATGAGAATTACTAATAGAAATATTTTTTATTAAGAAAAAATTTTATTATCTTTTAAAGATCATTATATGATGTTAGATTGTCTTTTATAGTCGAAAAGTTCGATATAATCAATTAACATAATTTATCTAATTATATTGTAAATAAATGAAATTAATTAACAAGCTATTACTAATTAAACTATTAATAAGTTGATAAGGTGTCTGGTCGTTCTGGCACGACTAATGCATGTATCATGAGATGGTACAATTGTTTTAAGAATAAATTTCAAAAGTAGCAGAGTATTTAATAAAATTTGTTACAAAAAGCGCTTTTAATAGTATTTTGTTATAAAATTAACTATGACTGTTGAGATAATAAAAAATTAAGCCAAAGAACCAAGCCCTCCGAAAAGGCTAAAAACTGGAATATCAAGCTGCAGATAGTAGCAATACTGCCGTCCTGTTGCAAAGCAAAATGTCCATAGCACATCTGACGAGACAAAATTAAAATGTCCTACAACCCAATAATCAATTTATAATCCGCCTTGTAGCTCGGGTCAACGTTGGATCTTGGCGGAGGGTTCCACCTGAAAATCCTGACTTGTAAAAGCCACTTAATCCAAATTTTGGCACTTCGGCATCAGAGGACAGACACCATCCCCAAAACAAAGCCTTACTGTCAATGAGACACCCAAAAGGGGACCTCCCCTTTTGCCCCAAACAAATTCTGCAGTAATAGTCTCCATCTCAGAAAGACCACCCAATTCATAATAACCAACCACATAGTATGAAAAGACAAATCAGATCACTATGATCATCAACATTCACTATCTCAAAACATTTAAGCAAACAGAACAGGTCTAAACACTAGCAAACCTAACCTACCAACAGAAACACAATTAACCATTAATAGAACAAACGAAAATAGTCAAGATATTCCCAAAACATAAATCATCAATTCTTGGGTGACGTTTTAGCTACTCCACTCTGCTGGACAGTCTGTGAAGCTGGTGCTGTTTCGTAGGCCCCACGAGCATTACCAGTTGCATTACCATCAGAGTATACTGGAGGCTGGGAGTAACCACTACCATATGAGGTGTTGTAAGGCGGCTGTCCCTGCACATAACCTTGCTGATTTGCAGGTGGAGCACCATAGGCAGAATAACCTGACTGACCTGATGTAGTTCCATAACCAGATGGTGGGGCACGCTGTGAACTAGAATCGGGTTGAGTATAGCCAGATGATGGTGGCTGTGAAGGGGGATATCCTGGCTGAACAGGAGCAGGCTGGGCATAGCCTCCGGCACTGGGAGAATGCTGGGTCTGTCCATAGACAGGAGGATTTGCCAGAGGCTTCTGTGCTTGACTAGCTCCATAGCCTGCTCCATATCCAGACTGAGCTGGTGCTTGACTCCCATATGCAGTTTGTGAAGTTGGGGGCATTCCATAGCCTTGCTGAGCACTTCCCTGGGGTGGATAACCTGCAGTATTTGGGCTTGGCTGTTGACTTGAGCTATATCCCTGCTGACCCATGGCAGGGGGCTGCACAGGTGGAGGTGCTTGAGATGAATCCCCCTGAGAACCATAAGATGGAGTGTGCCCCTCCTGAGTTGGATTAGTCACACTGCCATAATTAGGTGCTGATCCATAACCTTGCTGCTGATCATATGTTGGTTGCTGCCCATAACCAGATTGTGGGTGTGTGTGATATCCACCATAGCCATCTTGAGTATAACCTTGTCCTGGCTGATTGTAGCCAGAGGGAGGCTGATTGTAATTGTACCCGGTGTTATCTGCCGGAGCAGCAGAGCCACCAGAAGTTTGTTGTTGCTGTGAAGATGGCGGTTGATTGTAATAATCATATCCACCTCCTGAAGTAGCCTGCTGGGATGATGACTGATCCCAGTTGGGAGGGTAACCACCAGATGCCTGTGGAGGATAACCTGCATAAGGTGGTTGAGAATACTGAGGTGAGGGACCAGGATATCCTCCAGGCTGCATGTAGCCATAACCAGGTTGTTGCATTTGAGGAGCTCCAGATGGAGCCCAGCTTGCTGGTGGTCGTGCTTGATAACCTTGCTGAGGGTATCCTCCAGCCATCCCTGGATTTCTAAGGCGATGCTGCACAAGATTGTATTTTAAATAAATATGGTGAGCTTTCAGAAAAGGTGAAGCATTACAGACATAAAGCAAAACATAAATATAGATCGTACAGACATAAAACCTACACAGCACATCTAAAAACCAGCAAAACAGATTTCAAATAGTGATACGTCCACACAGGACTAAGAGAGTTCAAAGAGTTCATATTGTACTCTGAAGGGGAATGAACGCCTACATACCGTACTGTTTGATGAAATAATTGAGTTTCTCCTGCAGAAGCCCATCCCTCTCCCTATTCGAAGTGAATGGGTGCAAAAAGAACCACAAAATGCCATACATTTCATATAAAAGCAACAAATATTTGCAAATCAAATTGCCATAAACAGGCAAAAAGTTCACAGCAGTTTCTACACCATTTAACGTAACTTTTAAGCTTCATATCAATCATATATCAACTCAAGCATCAGATCAAAACAGCAACCTAGAAGATCACTACATCTATCAGTACATTTAAGGAAGTTAATAATTTCTCAGATAAAAAGCACAATTTAAAGAAGTCAGATCTCTCAAAAAAATTAAGTTTGGATAACAGAAAATAAATTTATATTCACAGAGCAAAAATATGTTTGAAAATGTTCATATGCTTAGGTAAGAAGTTTAAATGCATCAATTTCCATGGACCCTCTCGATATTGGATGTGAATATCTGAGTATTCATATCAGTTGTTATTTTAACACAATCATTAGATTAAAGCAGCATCCTAGAAGATAACTATACCTACCAGTAGATATAAACAAGCATATTTTTTTATGTAAGATATAAGGAAGTTAATTATTTCTGATTTAACTGAATAAAATTTAAAAAGGAAAGTCAAATCTACCAAAAAAAACCATTTAGATTTGGATAACAGAAAATAAATTTATAACTTCATAAAGCAATAGCATAGGTGAAGATTTTGATATTCTCAGGTTAGAAGTTTAAATGCATCAATTTCCACCAGTCCTCTCAACATTGGATGTGAATCTCAGTAGCTTTGAAGCTTGCTGTTAACCTAAGCTGCATTTCCATAGACTGAAAACACCATCTTCTTATGACCCAACCTTCAAGAACAAATATTTTTTGTTGAAAATGGAAACTGACCCAATCAAGGAACCACCTATATACATTCTTGAAAAAACAGAATGTAGACAGCATTTTTTTTTGGAGGTATGTTTACTAGGCCAGTAAGTTCAGCACTGAAGATCAAGAAAATCACTTTGATAGGAAGCAGTGTAAAGGAAAATGCAATTAGTACTTCCTTCAGATTCCAATACTGGTACTGCCAAGATATTACAAGAACAGGGCACATTATAGATGAGACAATATAGTTTGGCAACTTTATTCTGCCATCAAAAGTGAACTTGAAGCTCCTTTCAGAAAACATCATTGCTAAATATCAGAAATTGAAGCTCCTTTCAAAAAACAGGCCATATTATAGACAAGACAATATAGTCTGGCAACTTTCTTCTGCCATCAAAAGCGAAATTGAAGCTCCTTTCAAAAAACGTCATTGCTATGTATGATTTAGTAGGCCAGTAAGTTCAGCACTGACGATCAAAAAAATACTTTGATGGGAAGCAGTGTAAGGAAAATGTAATTAGTACTTCCTTCAGATTCCAATACTGGTACCACCAAGATATTAAAAAAACAGGCCGCATTATAGACAAGACAATATAGTTTGGCAAACTTTATTCTGCCATCAAAAGTGAATTTGAAGCTCCTTTCAAAAAACATCATTGCTAAGTATCAGAAAATGGGATTCAGAACCATACCAGGGCAAGCTGAGGAAACACCAACACAAAAGGAATCCATGTTGGTGTCACCAAAGGTCCACTATAAACTAACCCTACAATAGTTCTCAAAAACAATATCAGTTATACGATAAAATTCATAAGCACATTCTGGTAGAATATGTCATTATCCGATAAACCATTCAGTTGGCATATAGCTTCAAATGACTTGACGATGGACACGAGATATACATGATAAGATATTTGCTATAACCATAACAACCTAGAGATTAATTATAAAGAGTTTCCCCAAACTAATTATTCAACAAAGTATTAAAGCACTATGAGGACAGAAAGCACTCTGACAATTTTGGCAAATGAAGCTACTGAACGCCACCCAGGAGAGTTCTGCCTACTGATAAATCCAAAATAACCCCAAAGGAACCAGCTGCAGATAGATAAGACTAGACATTCAAACTCAAGAAGTTTAGTCACAGTTTCATCCGTAAGATATCCACAGTGTATACCATGCTTACCAGCCCCAATACTAATATAAAACCAAAAAAAATATTTAATATGAGCAAGGAAACTCTCACGAAGTGGTAAATTTTGCAGAGGCTCAGCTTTCTTCCAAGGGTCATTTTGACACACAGGATTATATTCTCAACCAGCTGTAAAAGCCAACTGGAGCAGCAACAAAGGATATCTGCACTTCTCTGGATTTTACAAGTCCAACAAATGGAAAAGAAAATATCCAAACTATATCCACAATTTAATGAATGGGCACTCGAAGAAATTAAGACCCAATTTTTGCAATATGGTTAGATTAGCACAAAAAATCAGTAAAACCTAGGAACTTGTGACAAAAAGAAAAGAGTAAAAGAAAGTACTAATGCACAAAAAAAATACAAGTATTCAGCAGGTCCTGGCATAGCTAGACAATAGCAATAACTAAACAACCAAATCAACTGAAAAAAATTATATTATAAGAGAATCGCCAAAGAATACATTTTAAGTATCATCTTTCCAATGCCAAGATTTGACCAAGTTCAAGGAGACAGAGTGTTGAATTGGCCAAATCGACAAAACACAAACAACCAAACTTACCTCACTTATGACTTCATTAACCAACTGTTTTGCATGTTCAATCTGCTCACTGGTCCCATCTACCTGTAATGTCCTTTCTGTTGATGTATCTCCAGGGGGCAGATGCAAAGGTATTACCTACACAGAAGAGGCAGATTACAAATGAAGATGTTACCAAAGTGTGTATTCATCACATGGCATCAAGCAGAAAATGGCAAGGATCCAAAAACAATGGTGCTGGTGAATTTCAAATAACCTGAATACGAGCTCCAGACTTAGCTTGCATGGTTTTAATTGTTTCACCACCTTTCCCAATCACCAGACCAACCTGAGACCACGTAGATATAGCATATAACCCTCAAGCAACCAGAAAAATAAGCTGAAAACAAAAGCACAAACTTCATATATATACCTTGTTATTTGGTATTTTCATTACAAACTGCTCAGACCCTGCCTGTCCTGTTAACCTTCGAGAAACAATGCCTGAACCCCCAGCTTCAGCCTGGTCAAAATTTAGACATTAGACAACTACATTGATACTAAAGCACAAAAAGTCTTCGAAGATTTCATGTCTATAATAGAAAGTCCTTTAGCGTGCATGAATGTAACTCTCTTCCAAAAACTAGCATTCTCAAAGAATATCAAAAACACAAGCCCAAAATGTTTGCAATTAGAAGATAAAGTACATCAGAGGAGGAAACATCAGGAGGCAAAAGGAAGTATAGAGCCTACCTCCTGAAGAACCTCATTGATCAATTGCTCTGCCTTAGCTATTTGCTCTGAAGTACCCATGAGCTCTACCATTCTGTTTGGAGAATTCGGGTCTGCATCCACATCTCGGGTAACCTGGATCTTGGCTCCAGATTGAAGTTGAAGATACTTTATGGTCTCGCCACCTTTGCCAATGATAACACCTACCCTTATATTTGGAATTTCAATCTTCTTGCTTGTACCCTGGAAACTACCATACGAGAGAGGTATAGATGAAGGAAGTGAGCCTGAAAGGGGCTTTCCATCTGCATTAAATCAATCAACCTTCGTTAAGCTTCAGATCCACATACAACATATGGCTAACAAAGTAAAAGCATTACCATGCTTCATATAACTTACAAAGTAACCAAGAAATATTAATGCATACAATATTTTCAGCAATTACCATTAAAAGCAGGGATCGGTTCAATTATTAAAAAGAAAACAAATTAAAACCCTAACAAAACCCTACCTCCGCATAAGACGGTGAGATAGGTGAAACCAATAGGCAAAGTGCACAATAAAAAAGCTAAAGCAGGAAGCAGAAACCAGTTCAAACATTGAGTTTACAGGTATACTGTTCATTAATCACTCGAAAGATACACAAAATTGCATACATCCAAATTAACCAATAACTCATAAGTAAGCAGATACACAGGGAAAAAAAGAAAAGAAAAAGAAGAAAAAAAACATACCAGAGACGGCGGAGGAACTAAATCCCTTATCATTCGAATCAAATAGAGATGCACCATTTTCAACGCGGGGACGCTTGGCGTCGGCTCCACTGATGAGACGAGCAGCGATCTCCTGCGCGCGTTGCTTTGCCAACTGGATTTCGTCGGCCGGCGGCGGCACGCTATTGTACGAAGGCGGTGGAGCAGCCACTGAATCCGGCGAGGCAGACGGGATCGGACCAGAAGAGAAACCCGTGGACCTACGAGTTCCAGAAGAAGGCGTTTGGTCATCGTATTTCCGCTTGTTTGTTGCTGTGTCTGTGACAGCGGAGTACCGCGATTCGTCGGCCATTTTTGGTTGAGCGAGAAAGAGAGAGAGAGAGAAAGAAAGAGAAAGAGAAGAAGAGACCCTAACGCAGATACTGAAGATAAAGATGAGACCGGGTTTCGTATTCGTTAATATTCTGATTTGCATACAGAAATAAAGGTCTATAGTCTACTACAGGCAAAGCTGTGCCCCAGGCCCGGCCCGGCCCAGCCCAGCCCAGAAGATTCAATTTTGTTTTAGCCCATATCTTAAATTCTTTTTTTTTTTTGTTTCTAAAGAATCTATAATTATTTATATTACTTTTCTTATTTATATATAAAATGTTATAATTATTTTTATATAAATTAATATAATAAAAGAATATTTCAGCCGAATAACAATAGAGATATCAAAAGATGCCATGAAACTTATATAATTACAGAATATAACTAAAGTAACGTAAGCTTTATACTTTAGCGAAAGCCAACTCCTCCATTCTTCTACCTTCAACTTCTCATTCAAAAACACACACTTGTCTTAAAACTTTGAAAAACATTGAGCAAAATCGTTGAAGAAACTTCAACTTTTGCCATCAAAATACATACATCTTTGAATCTTAGCTGATTTTATTAGAAAACTCTCAGCTCTTTTATGGGCTAATTAATTTACTTTGTGTTTATTTTGTTAACGTTTTTCTTGTTGCTGGCATTCTCTTAACTCGAATATTACTTTATATAATGGTAAAATTAATACATTTTTAAATGTTCGAGAAAATATCGCAATGAATAGTTGTGTAAACACACCTAAACTTCTATTCAAATATAAGCATAACATATAGCTACTATATAGTAGATATTTAATAAAATGTTAGGAAACCTTGAACTGATTTCTTCATTTTTACTTCTCTGTTTTCTAACGTTGCAATGATGGGATGGAATCAAAACAACAAATGTGTTTGGACACCCTCCAAGCTTAATTGCAGAATGCTCAGACCAAGCAAAATCCAAGTTTACAGAATTATTGGAAGGTATGGGTACCAGATTTCATTTGGTATAATCCCCATGTGTAATAGGTTTATTTAAATTCCGCGTTTTCTTAATAAAATTTTAACTTCAGAACTTATGTAAAGATTACATAAAATTTCTAAAGACATGACACACAGAAGAGAGTGAGATAACATAAGATGCAATTTGAAACATAATCAAATAAATCCATCGTAAAAAGTTCCATCAATATAAAAATGTTATATTGTTCGCTATCAATGTTGGTTATTACATTTGTAGTTGTGAGATTGTTTTTGATGAATAAATATGATTTAAATGTCCAATGTACTGAAAACTCACTGTGAAATAAACTTTTTCTTCGAACATAAAAAGTGTATTACGTAGATCTAATATATGTAAACAGAATAATCATAAAAGTGAGACTTTGCCAAATGAACCTAACAGATTTGATATTGAACGAACACAACATATTTACTACTTCAATCCCAACTATAGATCCACAACCAGCCCACCCCAAAGAAATAATACTCCAAGCAAACAAGGGAACAACCTGCCGAAACACAAAACCTCCATTTATTCAAAATCCAGCTTAAGGACATGGAAATCTGTGAACAAGTAGATAACACAATGAAAAATTAAAATATGGCAGGCACGGGATGAATACAGGAGCTGTCGATAACTAGAAAACCAAAGGTCTGATTAATTAAATGTCTGGGACACAAAAACAAACACAAAACAACTAGGTTGTATATTCAGAAGAGGTTTACTCCCTTTACATGGCATTTCCCCAGGGGAAAAGATACTAGGGTCGGATTTATTAACTCATATAAACGCAGCTGCCAAACATTAGAGAAGAAGCTTTGACATGCTCATTTGCTCACCAGTGCAGGAAATCCTTGCGTCTGTTGATCTTTTCTGCAATTGGAGAATTCCATAGAGCAAGGCCTCAGCAGTTGGTGGGCAACCATGAACGTAAGTGTCCACCGGGACAATTCGATCACAACCTCTAACAACATAATACAAGTAGTGGTACTATCCACCTCCATTGGCACAACTGCCCATAAAAATGACCCACCTTGACTCTGGCATCTGGTATTAAACTCTACTAAGAGATTGAAATAAAAG